GATCACTTCTAATCCTTCCAGCAGTATTGTACCCTTTTTCGCTTCCCTTACCTTCAGGCTTACCTTCCCCTTAATTCTCATCTCTTCGAACAGGAGATTTTTTGCTTCTATCTTCAAGGATCTCCTCCACTGACCTGCCTGCACGAACTCCATCCCCTCCATTTTCCCTTCCTTTTGCTAACTAATGTTCTTTACAAAGAAAATGCATTTCACTTACTCTATACCATCCGAGTCTTCAATCATACTTAGTTTCGTTCCTTAGTGTTGTCTGTTCTTCACTCTTGCTCAAGTACTACAGAAGGCCCTCAGACCTGGACCTCCTTGAATTCCATGAAGTCAAAGTCGAATAGGTAGCTAGTATTGCTGATTAATGCACAACATAGTATATATATAATCTAAAGTTGAACAAACTACCCAAAAAGGGTGTAACAATCTACCAAACATTGTTTCAACATAGCATGTGTGTGTATCATCCAAAGGGTGCTGTAACCTACCAAACTTTAGCTTCAGCCATTAAGGAGTAATCATGTTTTCAGATTAGAAGAATAGTTACAAACTACAGTAATCTTTTAACTTTTTCCTATGCAATAAATTTAAATTAGTTTACCAGACAATCCAGTACTGGTCCAATAACTAGAGGTCCAGCAGCCAGTCAATTATTTTACAAAATCTAAAGGCTATGTTTGGTTTGATAGAAAACAAGAGAGAAACAGAAAGTTGAGGAAAAATCCTTTCACACTCCTCAATAGTCTACCCTCAACTTTCTGCTTCTCTTTTATTTTCTACCAAATCAAACACATTCTTAGCATATTCCAACTTAAAAGATCATGAAATTTTCCACAACCTCATTCATCAAAAGCATGACAGTTAAAAGAATCCACCACTGAAAAGCTAATTTCTGTAAGTATAAATCACCTCTTGCTGCTTATAGAAACCTCACAGCTGCTCTATCATCTTCTCTTCCTCATTATCCTCAATGGATGGTTCTAGCCCCGCAAAGACAACATCCTTACTGTATCTGATATGCGTCTGCAAGTCATTTGTGTACTATGTTTCTGTCAACAATAAGAAGGAAGTACCAAATAGCACCTCCAAAATCAAAACATTGCCCCTTCAAAGGTTGAGAATTTTTTTAATGTATAAATACCAACACAGATCTAGGTTCAACTTTTCAAAACTACATTGCAAAGACCTCCCATGTGAGTAACAAATCTTGTCATATGTTGTTTCAAGATCATGTAGGAGTTCTGGCAACTTCATTTCAGATTTCTGAAAATGTGATGTGCTTCTGAGCTGTTCTTCACCCATTTTAAGTGAATCACTAGAAAGAGAGCACTCATTTTTTTTTTTTTGATCAATAACACTTTCATTAAATCATCAGTAGAAAATTTACACGAGGAAGATAAACACACTTATCTTCCAAGAGCCACAAAAAGCCTCATAAAAGGAAAAAAAAAAAGAAGAACAAGAGAAAAGAAGAAAAGAAGACACTAAAGTTACAGCTTAGCCCAAAACTGTGAATCCCTTTCTGCCCCTTGTTTAGCTAAACCGTCAACTAGGGAATTAGCCGATCTTTTAACCCAACATGTCTTAACTTCCATCTCCTTTATTGTCATTCCTCTTTGCAAACTTGCAAATGGGTTTAAATCTTCCCTCCTGGTTGCACGAGGAAGAGGAACAACCTGAACTGGATACACTTGCTTCCCAAATCCCAAATCCCATCATAATTACTCAACTAGTCATGGAAAGTAGAAAAGTGAGAGAAAGAGAGAGGGAGAGAGAGAGAGAGAGAGAGAGAGAGGGGTTACCTATTGATGCCGGTGTCCTGGGATGTAGTCCCGTGGTAAGAGGTCGATGTTGACTGTGAGAGACAGAGAGTGCATGAGAGAGAGACTGAAAGAGTGTGGGGGGAAGAGAATGAGAAAAGGAAAAAATATATATATATATATATATATATGCTTAGCATGAGATAAATAACCAAGTTAAAAAAACAATTTCAAAATTGAACTGATGAAGATAACCAAAGACTCGTGTTAAGTTCTTTATTTTATTTTTGAACCAAAACAATCCATGAAACAAATCTTCATTAAATTAAATTAATAGAAACAGAGGGAAAATTTTGAACCCATGGAAAGGAGCAAAACGAAAGGAAAAAGATGATAACCCAAGGAAAGGAGCAATGATTTGTTTAAGTTGGTCCACCCCATGTATTGGTGGGAAAATTTAGGTTTTTTGAAATGAATTTGGGTCCAAGCTAAGGTTCATATTTAGGTTGATCCTTAACCTAACCCAACCCATCTAATTTACACCATATTTTATTAGAGAGAGCCAAAAGGTATGAAGAGACATTTAAGAGGAAAATAAAGATTTAATGGGGATGGGATGTTACAAACATTGATTATTAAGGTTAAGGAGGGAGGGAGGGAGGGAGAGAGAGATTTAACAATGGTCTTATAAGAGAGTAAATATGGATTTTATGAGAGACAATAAAAACCCATGAGGTTTTTAATGATTTAATTTAAAAATAAATGTGCATATGTGTGAGAAAGGAGAGGAGGAAGAGGTACATGTGAGCTATGTGGTGAGAGGACCCTCAAAACATTTGATTCCCTTATCACCCCTACCCTCTTCCCTCCATTTCTATCCAAATATTTGATTCCCTTCTCATAACAACATTAAGCTCCATACAGACCTAGAGAAACTTGGACTGGTTCCCAAATCCCACTAAGAGTCATCCCCGTTGACACTTAGTGGTTGGAAATGGGTGTGTGCTTAATAAGAAAAAATATAAATAAGCAACACAACGTGATTCAATCATAAAGAACAAATTCAATCAAGAGGGGATGTGCATACAAGTGTACAATGAGAACAGATTATTAAATTAGAAAAGTCTGCTCAAAGCTAATTGCCCATTTGATTGATCAACAAAACTATCAAGTTTCTAATATCAGAAGTAATTGTGAATCATTTTTGGATAACATAATCAGGAAAAATAAGGTAAATTTAAAATATCTCAATTCTCACCAGAATGTGGTAACTTGGAAATCATTTGAGCAGGATTAGAGCAAGTAATGGTGTTTTTTTTCCTTCTGTATTAATGCAGACAGTTGATTTACAAGACCAAGTCAGAAATATCAACCCCTTGCAGTCCGGTTCAACATTACATATTGTGGGTATTATTTGGAATAATCACCCAAATCAAAGCTTAATCAAGATCAATTTATATGCTGCACTACAAATGAATTTGTTCAATGGCGATTTCATCATCATCATCATCATCAAACCCAAAAGACTTTAATTGTTTATTGATTCCAAGCAACAACAACATGATATCCTCCATAACAAAATGAGACTTGTCTCCTGCAATGAATTCATGAACTACACCGTCCACCTCAATCAAGCTACACCCCGGCACTTTTCTCACATTCTTCTCCTCCATACCCTTCCTTACCATTTCTACAACTTCCCACTGATTAGCTGAAGCATAAATGTTAGACAAGAGAACATGAACCCCACCATGATCAAGGCTCCGATCCATCAGGCTCCCCACTGTTTCTTTACCTAATTCAACATTGCCATGTACTCTACAAGCGTTAAGCAATGCACCCAACACATATGAATCAGGCTCCATGGGCATCTCTGTTACAACTTTCTTTGCCTCCTCGAGCATCCCTGCTCTCCCCAATAGATCCACCAAGCACCCATAGTGCTCAACGCCTGGATTAATTGCATAAACCTCGGTCATGCTATTGAAAAATCTCAACCCTTCTTCTACCAATCCCATTCGACTGCAAGCACTTAAGACACATATAAATGTAACCTCATTTGGCTTAACTCCTTCCTTTTGCATCTCAACAAATAACTCAATGGCACTTGCACTCTGGCCATGGTTTGATAGGCCTGATATCATAGAAGTAAAGGTGTAAACATCTCTCTCAGGCATCTCATTAAAGACTTGACGAGCCGTATCTATACACCCACATTTAGAATACATATCTACGAGAGCTGTACCCAGTATTCTATCCAATTCCATCTTGTTTCTATCCACATAAGCGTGAATCCATCTTCCTTGATCCAAGGCCCCAAGAAAAGCACAAGCAGAGAGTGCACCAACAATCCCAGCATGATTAGGTTGGAACCCAGCATGTTGCATTTCGTTAAAAAGCTCCAGAGATTCTCTGAACTTACCAACTTGAGCATAACCCGTGATCATAGCACTCCAAGAAACAGCATTTCTCTCGGGCATTTTCTCAAACAACTGCCGAGCAATTTCGAGTTGTCCAGATTTGCAATAACCACTAATTACGGCGGTCCATGAAATAACATCAGGGTTCAAACTCCTATCGAACAATTTTCGAGCGTTAGCAATGCAGTCACAATTGGCATATAAATGGATTAAACCGTTCTGAACAAAATCATAACACTCCCACCCAAGTCTAACAACTTGGGAATGAAATTTCAGCCCAAGCCAAATACTAGAAAGGTCCACTGAAGCTTTGAGGAGAAAGGAGAAAGTGTAGTTGTTCGGTAAGAGGCCACTCTGTAGCATTTGTTTGTAGAGTAAAATGGCTTTCGCGGGTTCCTTTCTCTCAGCGAAAGCTCTAATCATGGTGTTCCAAATGAAAGTCGTGCGGTGGGGAAGATGGCGAAAGAGAAGGTAGGCGTGATTGAGATCGCCAAGGTCGGAGATCGCGCAGAAAGCTATGATCTTGCCGGCGGCATAAGGGTCACAAATAGTTCCGGAGACGATAAGATGGGATTGAATTTGTCTGATTTCTCTCATGGTTAGACATAGTTCTAGGAGGGAGAGAGCTCTGTTGCTTGATTTCACATATTTGATGAGAGGCAACATCTGCGGTGGAGGCAAAAGATCGATCACAAATACAAGAGCATTTTTCAAACCCTGCCAAATTCCACTTACCTCCCCTGATTTTCGGATAACTTCTACTTACCTGCGCCATGTTTTCAGACAAACATTTTCACTTTCTCTAAGACAGCCCTACAAAGACGAGGAGATGAGACTCCATACAACATGTCTCAGCTAAGATACTGTCTGCATTACCAAAAAAAAAGGTTTTTATATTTCAGTCCACCTCAGAAATCTTAACCCCATCCTACAAGTGGGATCAATAGGGGATCACTAGTAAACAAGAGGACTGTAAAAACTAGGCGGTATACAAGGGATTGCAGTCTACTTATCCCCAAAAAAAAAGACTAGCATATTGCTCACACCGAAAAACACCTAGTCTGTTGGCACCAATGTTTTAAAAATTATTTTGATGAGGGGTGATTTGGCCCGACCTAATAAGTAAAGAATAGGTGGATGTGGCATGTCAATCAGACAACAAATCAGCATGTAGTGCCACGTCAGAATATCGTGGGACCTCAGGTGCTCAGTCACTTTGAAGTCGGAGCACCTCTGTACCCACGTTAGACCTGTTCATGGGTCGGGTGGCCCGACGGGCCGGCCGGCCCCCAGACGGGCTTGAACATGGTTATAGGCCCACGGGCTTAAACTCGGGCCAAAAAGCCTAGCCCGCAATAAATTTGAGCCGGGCTCGGGTTTTGTCAAAATAGCCCGGCCCGACCTAAACCTAGACCTAAAAAACCATAATCGAATAGCCCCATCTTTTTATTATCTCTTTGCCTCTTTCCCTCTTCTTTTTCCAGCCGAACCCTAACCCTTCTTCTCCAACCTCCACATCCTCCACACTCCATAGTGAGGTGGCGAACGTTCACCGGTGCAATAACTCTGGCAGCAACGGTGAGTTTTCTCTCTCTCTCTCTCTCAATCTCTCTCTCTCTCTCTGCGAAATTTATTAGGTCAAGCTTCGGGCTTTTTATTAGGCCCGAGCTCAGGCCCAAGTTATAGGCCCGTAGGTCGGGCCGAGCTCGGGCCCAAGTTATAAGCCCGTAGGTCGAGCCGAGCTCGGGCTCGGGCCTAGCATATTTTCATTAATGGAGACTAAAAGCTCGGCCCGACCCATGAACAGGTCTAACCCACGTACGCTGAGATGCCACGTAGCCGAACCTAGAAGCTCGTATGTTGTCTCCGAACTTCTCGGGATCACGCCACGTAAATGTAGGCCTTATCCTCGCCCCGCTCGAATCGAAGGGAAAATGTAAGCCTCATTAACTATTACATTATCCTCATTCCGAAGTGGAACGGATCCCTACATCATGGGCCAAAGATTCTATGAGTGTTTCGCGAGACCCACGGCAACCCAGCTATATAAGGGCATCAACCCCCAAGACTCAGGTACGCACGACTACTTGCTCACTAACCTACTTGCATTCAAACTTTTAGCTCGCAACCAGAGTACAATACTGACTTAAGCATCGAAGCGACCTCGCCGGGTTAGCCACCCCGGGTTCTTTGGTCCTTTGTCTTGAGCTTGGTCCAACTCGCCATGCAACTAGTGTTCAGGTAATCTTCCAACTAGGAGCTTCTAGATCGCGCACCATCAAATGGTGTTGTCAGTGGGAACCAATCAAAATGTCAACCTTACATCTCATCCATCACCTTATTCTTTCTCAATGGCATCTTCAAGCAACACCAGCAAGGGCATCGACATGAGCGTCACTGGGGGGCAGGACCACCCAGCATCACTCCCTCAAGGCCCTTTAATGACTATCAGGCAGTTTACCATCACCCTCATTGCCTCAAGGGTCCCCACTGTGTCGATTGAGCAAACGAGTCAGCAGATAAACATCCTGCTACCCCAGGCAAACACCACTTTCTCGGAACCCTCGGTGATTCCTCCTGGGGTAGGACATCACCAATTCGATGATCTAGTTCAAAGTGTCAGAACCATGTAGATTCAGATGCAACAGATGCATCAGTTCCAATAATTTCAGCAATACTATTTATGTCAGCAATACCAGCAACAGTTTCCACCATTGTAGCCAAACCAGAAACTAGGTCAGTACCAAAATCAGAACCAGAACCAGTAGCCTCATCAGAGTGTTCGCTGATCTCCCATCAGGGTGAGAGAAACTCACAGGTTCCGGTCCCTCCTAGGGACCAGACCCCACCTCGGGGTAGAACCGACAGCCAACACACCCCCTAGTTTCTCAAAGGAAGAACCTAAAAGATAGGCCCGAGGTCAGCCAGCATGAAAGAAACAGTCAGCAACAACACTCACGGCCTGAGAATCGCGAGTCATGGCTTGATGATCGCTAGCTTGGGGCCCGAGGTGCGGGCTCGAGATGAGACACCTCGGCACCCTGCAACAGCCAGCACTGGTCTCACGACCAAGAAGAAGCAGGAGGAAATAACCCATATCTACCTCGCAACAGTGTTCAGGAGAGAGAGCGGACCAGAATCAAAGTACCTAATAACATAGAAGTCAATAGCACCAATGTGGAGCTAGCAAAGAAGCAGCAATGACAATGTTGTAAGACTCGTCGGTCTTCCACCAGGAACAACCCGCCAGCAAGGAGCAAATGCCTGCTAGAATGAAGCAAGGAAAGGGAGGAAGTGAGCTCGGTAGCTGCACATCCGGCTCTTGCCTTGTTGAGTTGGCCCTCCCCCTGTCACCCAAGCTAATAGCAACCCCGATGCCGAAGGATTTCAAGGTACCCCCATTGAAAAAGTATGACGGAAGTTTTGACCCCAACCACCATGTAGACGCGTTCCAATCTCAGATGCATCTTGCCGAAGCAGATGAAGTGTGCATGTGCGTGGCTTTCTCCACCACTTTCAAAGGAATAGCTCGAACTTGGTATAGGAATATGCGCCAGGCTCAATCAAAAGTTGGGCACAGTTCGTGAATATGCTAACGACCCACTTCATCACTAGTAAGAAGTGTCCGAAGTCACAAGAAAGCCTTCTAAACGTGGTGCAGAGGGAAAACAAATCAATTTGTTTCCATACAATCCTCGACATGGGGCAAATAAACATCAGGGGTCCAAGAAAAGAGGCAGATAAACAATAGTCAATATGGGGCTCCTCGTCCCCAATAGTAACTCTGGTAGGTTGGTCAGTCTCCATACAATCCTCAACAATAGCGTCTCCTCTGTTGTCTCTTCATTGAGGAGGTCGTCATCACTCTCCTCCTCGGAATCCAAATCCTTAGCAGCCTCCCCGCCCATCTCCTTGGTGACCCTGGATGTGGTGATAGCGCTGAGGTCGAGCTTGGGAAACTCACGTCGTGTCAGGCACCTGCTAAGCTAGAAGCCCTTGTGATAGGTCGTTGTGCCGGTCTCGATCAGCAATTTGCGTTGCTTCTCCAAAGACTTATACTCCTCGATGGCCTAAACCTTGGCATCCTTGATTGCATCGTTGAAGATCTTCGTGCACTCCTTGGCCCCGGTGGACTCTTCACTCCAATAAAAAAAAAAAACTACTTAAGCTAATGCTAGACATACCAAACTAAAGGAGAAAGACAAAAGGAAATGGAAACAAAGAGAGACGAACTCACCAATAAGGCTGAAGGAAGCAAAAAGACCTCGAATGCAAAGGCAACTAACGATGACCTAGAAGATTGAAGCGCGACCTCAAAAACTTGAGCACACAATATGTGGCGAGAAAAATGGGCCCCTCCGGCCCTTATTTATAGCCACCACGATCGGGACTCAATGGTCGAGATCTACACAATCTGACGACTCCCATGAAAACCAGTTGCACGCCACCCAAGATCGAAATTGGTTGAGCGCGCGATTTGACGTCCGCGGCGTTTATAAATGGCATAGTGTTCGTGCATACCCAGTACGTGATCTGGGGTATTCTTGGTCGATCCAAACGGGTCATGAAGGTCCGACCGAAGAGCCACTCTCCAAAACGCCTGGAAGTCATGCCAAATCCACCTGGGCTCGCCATGAAATCCCTGCGTCGGGTCAGGACCCCAGGCACGGGGAGTGGGGGGCAATTGATGTGGGGTGATTTGGCCCGACCTAATAAGTAAAGGAAACAGATCGCGGGACCTTGGGTGCTCGGTCACTTCAGAATCGGGGCACCCCGGTACCTACATACGCCGAGATGCCACATAACCTAACCTAGAAGCTCGCTAGTTGTCTCCAAACTTCTCGAGATCACGCCGCGTAATAGTAGGCCTTATCCTTGCCCCGCCGGAATCGGAGGGAAATGGTAAGCCTCATTAACTGATATGTTATCCTTTTTTCGAAGCGGAACAGATCCCTATGTCACAAGCCGAGGATTTTGTAAGTGTTTCGCGAGACCCACAACAGCCTAACTATATAAGGACATCAACCCCCAAGACTCAGGTACGCGCGATTACTTGCTCACTAGCCTACTTGCGTTCAAACTTTCAGCTCGTAACCAGAGTACAATACTGACTTAAGCATCGGAGCGACCTCGCCAGGTTAACCACCCTAGGTGAAGGAATGGAAAGATCCATCGTATGGATGCCTGGATAAAGTGGAATTGAATGTGCGAATTTCAAAAATTTCTTTCCTTCCTACAACTGGGAATCGCATTCCCTATTTTAGAAAACTAATTTTCAAGGATCAATCTTGAATCAAGAACCGAATCAGATCTAAAACAAAATATTAGGAGAGGGAAATACCTGATATGGAGAATTAGTATCCCCCAACGAAGGTGTTCACGCCCAGAAAAGTCACCAAAGACTGCTCCCACTGAAGATGGCGCAGTGTAGGACGGAGCAGAATCAGCAATGTTCTTCGCAAGAACTGGATCCTTCGCAAGAACCCACTGGACAACAGGTGAGCACAACTTCTTTTCAATTCTTTCAAAGAACTAAAACCAAGAACGCTTCTTGATGACTCCTACGTGAGTGGAGACGAACTGCTAATGGCGGCGGCGGCAGGAAGGAGGCGGCAGAGAGAAATTGGCACAGTTTCACTGTATGCTGATTTCTCTCTTCTGTGTTGTATCTGTATCTCAGATGAGTGTGTTTAGAGGCTGCTGCCCCCTCCTCTTTTTATAACCCTAAAGGAATCAACTCCTAATCCTATTAGGAGATGTTGATCCCCTTAAGTGATAAGGCAGAGACCTCATCTAATCTGCAGATCATGATCAGCCCTCCTAATTTAGTTAGGAGTTTCCAGTTTTGAATCATATTCAAATCAGGACTCTTACTGAGTGGATAGGGAC